AAAAAAAAAAAAAAAAAAAAAAAAAAGACTGAGGGTTCTCTGGCACTGAGCTTCTTTCCAGAGATGGGAAACCTCCTAGCTATTCGTTTCTGGGCCTGGGAGGTTTCTTGGAAGTATCTGATACCAGTAATTTAAAAAATCTAGATTGAACCCAGAGAATCTAAGTGGTTGGAATAATTTTTGAAGAAGTGATGCTGATGATGGCATCCAGACTTCTGCCCATTTCCCAGTTTCCAGCTTCAGGTTTTAGGGGAGCCCTTCCCAGTAAGTCTAAGGACAGTATGAGAGAGAAAGGTTATGCTAGAAATCTTTGCCTTGGGGTTTTTAGAGTTGTTCTTAGAGGCAGGATCCCCTTAGAGGAGAATCCTCTTATACAGCAGATTTCTCTACAACAGATTGTGAACAGATTTGGAGAAACTCAACTTTTGCTGATACTTTTGCTGATAACTCCTGCCTTCTCATTTTCTTTGTCTTCTGCATATTCAGGATGAGGAAGAGTCCTTGAATGAAGTGGGCTATGATGACATTGGCGGCTGTAGGAAACAGCTAGCTCAGATAAAGGAGATGGTGGAGCTGCCCTTGAGACATCCTGCCCTTTTTAAGGCAATTGGTGTGAAGGTGAGCATCCTGGGCTCTGTGGGATATAGTCTAGGGAGGTGATTAATGACTATTGGGTGTCTAATCCCAGGGGCTGTTTTCATACATAATATTTCATTGTTGCCTTGGATTAGAGAGGCAGTGTTAAATTCTTTGTGTTTATAGAGGACAGTAATTTCATTAAAGCTACTAATGGATTGGAACAGAGAGGGCCAATTAAGTTCTCTGTTGCATATCTTTTTTTTTTTATCACAACCCTTTAAAAACGTAAAAGCCATTGTTATCTCATGGACCCTATAGAAACAAATCTCACCGTAGTTCACCACCCTGTCTAGAACAATGCTGGCCAATAGAAGTAGAAGTTAAGGAAATTTGCAGAGTGTAAAGGGTCCTGAGTCCAAAACATTTGAGAACTGCTGGTCTAGAATGTAACTTCCCAGCCATTTCCATATCATGGGACACACTGAAGATGAAACTATTACCCCTTTCCCTAGCATGCACCACACAAATAATTTTATCTTCTATGTGGGCACTTCCCGTGTGCTGCTTGTGGATGAGGCCACAGAAAAGACAGCTTCAAAGAGGAAAACTTGTGGTTGGCACTAAGGAAAAGCATTCCAACATGATGATAAATCCTGGAGGGTTGTGATTACTCGAGTGAGTGAGCCTCTGACAATACTCTTAGTGGCTAAGCTAGTCCTTGGCCCTTGTCTGTCTAAAGTCAAGCCTTTGACCTTATGGCCTCTTGCTTTTCCCTAGTCCTTAGGATCTTCAGGCTCACGCTAGAGTTTCTTAGGGTGGTTTCTCTGCCCATAGTCTCCTATGCAAGTTGCAATCATAAGTGTTGTCAGGTTTTTAGTGGTATTTTCTTTGCTGATAAGAGGAGTATGGTTTGAAATAAACTACTCTAGCAGCTACTGCTGAGACCTTATTCTTACTGGTGTCAGGATTGAGGTCTGTTTCTCACTCTCTCTAGATAGAGCCCTAGAGAAGCCATTTTAGGGTGGATGAGGTGGGGAGAAGGTAAGAGTCTGAACCTAATCACATCCTCTATACTGGTCCTCAGCCGCCTCGGGGAATCCTGCTCTATGGACCGCCAGGGACTGGGAAGACCCTGATTGCTCGAGCTGTAGCAAATGAGACTGGAGCCTTCTTCTTCTTGATCAATGGTAGGAGATTTGGTTCACCTTATGTTTGGCTGGATCCAACTATGAGCTTAGCATGATCCAGTCTCATGAGCTGGGAAACGCATGGACACATTCATTTGCACACATGCTTTCATGTACACTTTAGCTTTTTTCTTCTGTTGGGGTACATTACAGACAGATAAGCAACAAGGGGAAGTTATTTTACTCTGGTGCTCCCTGATCTGTCCCCCTTGAGAAAAACTGTGGACAGGCTGAAGACGTTTAGGGGGAGCGAGTTAGAATGAGAACTCAGAAAGTATATGCCTATTTATTTGAGAAGGTTTGGGGGAAGATTGGCTGAGATCAGCTGGCTCTTTGAGGATGATATTTAGCTGGTAGAGGTCCAACTGGTGTGCTCCTTCTCCTGCTCTGGCCAGAGGTCCCAGTGCATCTGCTGTCATTTTCACACTTTGAGCTCGACAGTGAGATAAGTGTTGTACTGAGTCCTTTGGCTTCTCCCCAGCCTGGCCTGGTGTCTATCCTGGGATGGTGGCTGGTCAAGATTATGAGAAAATAGGCAGAGGTTACCACATTTTCACCCAGGATCTGTCTCTGGGCTGGGCAGACAAGATATTTGATTTCTTTTGGGATTGAAGAAGGATGTAATTTTGTCATTGCCTCCATTCTGTATCCTTTTTAGGTCCTGAGATCATGAGCAAGTTGGCTGGTGAGTCTGAGAGCAACCTTCGTAAAGCCTTTGAGGAGGCGGAGAAGAATGCTCCTGCTATCATCTTCATTGATGAGCTGGATGCCATTGCTCCCAAGAGAGAGAAAGTAGGAATTTACCTGAGGGGATAGTGGGGGGTTGAAAGGTCCTGACTTCCCTTCTGACCAGACATCCTGTCCTGACAGACCCACGGTGAGGTGGAGCGACGCATTGTGTCACAGTTGTTGACCCTCATGGATGGCCTAAAGCAAAGAGCACATGTGATTGTCATGGCAGCAACCAACAGACCCAATAGCATTGACCCAGCCCTACGGCGATTTGGTAAGGACCACAAATTTCTTTCAGCCTTGTCCTTGCTCATCAGGGGATGGTGGCTCTACTGGGCTTAATCTCTTTGATTCCACGTTTGTCCTTCATCTAATTCTGAGGATTTCTTGAAGCTGTTTGCAGTGATAGGGCCCAGGGGTCCTTTCAGTTATCCCATGTCCTATCTAGGGTGACCAACCATCCTGGTTTGCCTGAGACTGAGGGGTTTCCCAGAACATAGGACTTGCATTGCTAACCAGGACAGTCCTGGGCAAACTGGGATGATTGGTCACCTAAGGCCTGTCCCTTCTTCCCTCTTGACCAGAAATGAGCCCTGTCTGTGTTCACACACTATCCCACAGGTCGCTTTGACAGGGAGGTAGATATTGGAATCCCTGATGCTACAGGACGCTTGGAAATTCTTCAGATCCATACCAAGAACATGAAGCTGGCAGATGATGTGGACCTGGAACAGGTGGGGTGGTGATGAGGGCTGACCAGGAGTTAGGATGTCTGTTTCCAGGCAGTTGAAGGGAACTGGCTAGGAACATAAGCTTAAGATGTAAGGAGGTTGATTTTGATTCCTGGGTAGGGGAAAGGAAGTGATCTGAGATTGAATCCAGGAAAGTGGATTTGGCATCTTTCTTAGTTGACACTGCATTAGAGTAAACCAGAATTTGGGGGGCAGCTTTATTGCCAGGCCCCAAGTCCAGGTTTGAATACTTAAAACACAGCCAGTGAAAGGACTGCTAGTATGTGTTCAGGGAAATGGGAGGACCCAGAGATAGGAGTCAGGGGAAGGGACCAGGATTCTGTTGTCTCTGAGCCTCCTAAGACGGGTGTGTCTTAGAGACGGGATAGTAAGTAGATCTCTCTGCAGGTAGCCAATGAGACTCACGGGCATGTGGGTGCTGACTTAGCAGCCCTGTGCTCGGAGGCTGCTCTGCAGGCCATCCGCAAGAAGATGGATCTCATTGATCTAGAGGACGAGACCATCGATGCCGAGGTCATGAACTCCCTGGCGGTTACTATGGATGACTTCCGGGTAAGCACCACACCCCCATGTCAGGTACGCACACGTGTACTTTGACTTCTCCCATGGCAAGTCTCATCCCCAGTTTTTCTTCCTTTTCTAGTGGGCCCTGAGCCAAAGCAACCCATCAGCACTGAGGGAAACTGTGGTGGAGGTGCCACAGGTGACCTGGGAGGACATTGGGGGCCTGGAGGATGTGAAACGTGAGCTTCAGGAGCTGGTCCAGGTAGGGTAGCTTGGTCCAGGGTAAGTCATTGCCTCAGTACATTGAAATTGAACTGAGTGGTCTTAGGGTGTTGGCAGATTCATTGCAGGAATTGTGAGAGCATAATTCAGGAACTTGGTATTCTCAGGTTGGAGGTGCTAAGGAGCCTGCTTCTAGGGAATCTGGATCTTAAACCATGGAGTGATGGGGTAGGGGGGGAATGCTTCTGTTTGGTTAGGTTTCTTTCAGACTATGCCAGTATCCCTGAACCCTCTTTTCTTTTCCTCTTAGTATCCTGTAGAGCACCCAGACAAATTCCTCAAGTTTGGCATGACACCCTCCAAGGGAGTATTGTTCTACGGACCTCCAGGCTGTGGGAAAACCTTGCTGGCCAAAGCCATCGCTAATGAGTGCCAGGCCAACTTCATCTCCATCAAGGGTCCTGAGCTGCTCACCATGTGGTTTGGAGAGTCTGAGGCCAATGTCAGGGAAATCTTTGACAAGGTAAGCTACAAGGGAGGGGCTGGGCTATCTATTCACTTGTTTGGGGACAAGGTAGGGATAGAGGTTGTTTCTTTGGGACAGTTAAAACCATCTCGTCTGGCAGCTCAGCTGGGGCAGTGAAGGTCACTTTATGTTCCTTTCCTTCTCAGGTGTGAGCGACCAGTTGTGCTAATACTTGAGTCCATCTGTCCCTCCCACAGGCCCGCCAAGCTGCCCCCTGTGTACTATTCTTTGATGAGCTGGATTCAATTGCCAAGGCCCGTGGTGGTAACATTGGAGATGGTGGTGGGGCTGCTGACCGAGTCATCAACCAGATCTTGACAGAAATGGATGGCATGTCCACAAAAAAGAATGTCTTTATCATTGGCGCTACCAACCGGCCTGACATCATTGATCCTGCCATTCTGCGACCTGGCCGCCTTGATCAGCTCATCTACATCCCGCTCCCTGATGAGAAGTCCCGTGTTGCCATCCTCAAGGCCAATCTGCGCAAGTCCCCAGTTGCCAAGGCAGGTGCAAGGTCTTGGGCCACGGGGGCTTTTTTGAGTCCTTAGGCTAGTGTGGAGTCCTCTTTGGTTCCTGGACAAGATTCCATTGGGGATTTCTGGAGTTAGGGTATAAAGGGAACATGGAAGATTTGGGGGTTTTAGGATAATCTAGAATTGGAAGTAAAATAAGGTGGCAAAAGTGGGACCAACTAGAATTGGGAGTGCTTGGGTGGCTCAAGATCTGTGTTTCACGGGGCAGAAGAGGCTAAATGCTAAGGTAGCTCTGTTGCTTCTTTTAGGATGTGGATTTAGAATTCCTGGCTAAGATGACTAATGGCTTCTCCGGAGCTGACCTGACAGAGATTTGCCAACGTGCCTGCAAGCTGGCCATCCGTGAATCCATCGAGAGTGAAATTAGGCGAGAACGGGAGAGGCAGACCAATGCCATGGTGAGTAGGCATCCTTTCCTTAAATGTGACAGTCATGGGGAGCCAGGCAACAGTCTCCACCATGCCCTAGAGTTAAGAGTGTAAGGTTTTGGAGGTTTAGCAGGGCATCAAAGAGAAAGAACGCTGGGGATTAACCCCTTTAGTCTGGAATTATAAAGGCTGAGAAGAGATGGGCAGACTATATGCTCAGTCTGAACTGGACTCCATGAGGGCAATCAAAGTGTGATTGTATAGATAAACAAATAGAGCAGGGCTTAGAATCTGGGATCCAAGGACCTATCTGGTGGTCCGTAGACCTCCTGAAATTAAATGCAGCATTTGTGTGTGTGTGTGTGTAAGCTCCATAAAGATAGGTAGGTAATCTATATCATCTCGCTTGTTTCTCGTCATATCATGGCACAACGGTAGAGACTGACTTAAAGGATGGAGGGGGTCTGTAACATCCCTTCTCCCTCTCATAAAAGTTGAAAAACTACTGCTAAACTAATCCTAGGGAGCAATGTCATAAGTTACAGCAATTGGAGTGGTTTCCCAGTGAAGGAGATAGGGTTTGAGCTGGACTATGAAGGGAGAGTAGAATTTTGATAAAAGAAATAAGCAGCCCAAATAATCTACTTGAGAAGTAGGATTGCGGGAATTGGGAAAACCTGGGTAGATTTAAGAGGGTATATGTTACTGGAAGTGAGGCCACTAGGTAAATGTAATTCAGATGTGGTAAGCACTGAGAGCCATTGACATTTTCATCTTAAAGTTCAGGTTTATTGAGCTATAATTTACGTATAGTAAAATTCATCGTTTTTAAGTGTACTATTTCCATGCTTTTTGACAAATGTATATAAGTCTATAACTGCTATCATAGTTGAGACACAGAAATGTCTGTCGTCCCAAAAAGTTCCCTCATGCTACTTTAGTCAGCTTCTTTTTCCCACCCTGAGCCCCTGGCAACCACTGATGTAATTTCTGTCCCTACAGTTTTGCATTTTCCAGAATGCATTGACAGGTTTTTAAGCAGGGCAGTGACTCAATTTTAGGAAGATTGGCCTGGCAACTTAGGTTGGATTGGAGAGGGAGGGAGACCAATAAGCTACTGTAGTAATGGCGGGCAGGGAGGCCAGAGAAGGAATCCAGGCTGGACTTTAACTAGCCCTGATAGTCTGTGTTTACCAACCCCGCAGGAGGTAGAAGAGGATGATCCAGTGCCTGAGATCCGCCGAGATCACTTTGAGGAAGCCATGCGCTTTGCCCGCCGATCTGTCAGTGACAATGACATCCGGAAATACGAGATGTTTGCTCAGACCCTTCAGCAGAGTCGGGGCTTTGGCAGCTTCAGGTAACTAGGTTGCAGTGGACAGTGTTTAAGTTGTCTTGGGGAACTATACAACCAAGGTAGTGGGAGTCCTAAGGAGGCTAGAAGGGATAGTTGTGAAAATCCTGAGCAGGCTCTGTTCTAACCCTCTTTTTTGGCTCTGCTCTTGTGCACACAGATTCCCTTCAGGAAACCAAGGTGGAGCTGGTCCCAGTCAGGGCAGTGGAGGTGGCACAGGCGGCAGTGTGTACACGGAAGACAATGATGATGACCTGTATGGCTAAGTGGTGGTGGCCAGCGTGCAGCAAGCTGGCCTGGCTGGACCTTGTTCCCTAAGGGTGGGGATGCTTGCCCAGGAGGGACCAGGGGCGTGCCCATGGCCTGCTCCCTTTCTTAGTCTGAATAGTTCAGCTACAGTAAGACTCTGGACAAGGGGGTTTCTGTTGAAAAAAAAAAAACAAAACAAAAGCGATAAAATAAAAGCGATTTTCATTTGGGAGGCGGAGAGTGAATTACCAAAAGGGAATTGGGCCTTGGGCCTACACCGTTTCTGTTGTAGTTTGGGACAGTGCAGGGGACCTGTGGGTATGAACCAAGGCACTATCGCCACTCCCCACAGTGAAGCATCTACACTTCACTAAATGCTGCCCAAGCCCTCCCTTCTTCCCCTATCCAACCTGGAAAGGAGGGTAAAGAGCCACAGTTGCTGGGTGTTTATATAGTGAGTAGGTTGATTTTATTTTACATGCTTTTGAGTTAATGTTGGAAAACTAATCACAAGCAGTTTCTAAACCAAAAATGACATGTTGTAAAAGGACAATAAACATTGGGTGAAAATGGAGCCTGTGTCCTGGCCCCTGTGCCTGCTTCTTTTCATGGGAAGGGCCTTGGGCACGTTTCCAAATGTGAAATCCCGGAAGTAAGATTGCACCGTCTTCCTCTCCTGATTAACATTGGTGTGATACTGCTGCCTGGCTACGTGTCTGCAGTGTCACTGGATAGGACTGCAGCGGAGAGTGAGCAGCCTGATGGAGCTCCAGCTGTGGAGAGTGTGGCATCCTCCACCTGGGTTTGATGTGGATGGTAAGGCTAGGCCTGCAGAACCCTCTTTCCTGATCAAGGACTGGATTGGGGTGGGCTCTAAAAATCTTAGGGTTGCAGAAAGATAAAATCTCTGTCTGGAGGTGGATGTTCTTTTGACACATCTGAAAATCCCAAACCTTCATCCTCTGGTTGAGGTTCACTTACAAGTATGTCCACTTTTCCTTTATGTAACTTGTATTATTAAAAAAAAATAGCTTTTTTCTAATATAAAATTCTACTACTGGATGTGTTTTTTCCTAAACTAAACATCCTCTCCTGCTTAGTTTTTCAGATGATTGCATAGTTTTGTCCAGGTATAGAGTATCCTCTTCATCAGGTACCAGCATACTCACTCAGTGCTTCTGGGATCAGTACCGTGATACCCTGCCCAAAGGGAGAATTGTGGTGCAGAGAAACTAATCTACTGAGTCCAATTTGTAATGGTTGTTCTAGTACTTATACCGGGCCCCGGTCTGGTCTACAAAGATAATCTACAAGGATACAAGATAATTATATTGGCTAATTAAACTGGGGCATCTTGAACTGGTGCCACGAGATAGTTTTGCACTTTTGGGATGTGAATTGACTGTCCCTTGTTTTCCATGACACTTTCTCTACCAGATTCTGTCTATGGTCCTCCTTTGGTTTTCCCACCATATGGGTATCCTGATGGCTTAGCTTTCAGTCGTCCCACTCTGAACATTATCGCTTTGTCTCCTCACTGGGTTGGCAGCCTAACCTCAATGAGGACCAAAGACAAGGTCTTTGGGGAAAGACATTTGGTACCTCTGCATCAAGCTATGGGAACAGAACAGAAGTGGTATTTTCCCATAAGGTATGTCTCTAGGGAAGACAGTTGGAGTTCTATAGATTCTTTAGGAAGAACCAAGAGCAGATTTGTGAGATTTGGTTCTAGTTCTGACACTTGTGCTTACAGCACTGTAGCTTTGAACAAGGTGCTTAGCTCTTTTGGGGCTTCTAGATTGTTAATCTGATAAAATGATTGGCAGTGCTTTGTGAACTGTACAAAGTATTGAGACGGACTGTTGTCAGCTTAGACCTGCAGAAGCCTGCATACTTAAACCAAGAGGCAAGTTGTATAGGCAGTTTGTCTTTTCCCCCACAGTGTTCCCAGAAAGAAATTGGAATGTAATGTTACTGTAGCTAATCATTTCTTCCCATGGGATAAGTACTACGATTAGAAGATGGGTTTCTAACCAAGAATATGGCATCAAATAGATCACAGAGGATCAACAGTATACCACAGAGGCAAAGCAGAGATGGAACTATAAACCTAACATCTTGAGATATATTTGGATTCAAGATATTGATCCTATAAGTTGTCCTGAGAGTCTAGTGGTCACACAGTGCTCATGAGGAACACAAGTCTGCCAGTCATTAATTTGACTGAACTATGGCAAATGTTAAGTGGTTTGTTACTCTTGCCCAGTCCTACAACCTACTGAGGACTTAAAAAGACTTAAGAGTATAGGACTTGGATTTTTTATACAACTGTCCAGAGATGCAAGACTCCTTAAATGCCCTGTGTCAAGTAGAAATTCAAAATTGCGTTCTTAGAGACTTTTTCTGGGGGGATAGATGGGGAGAGGGAAAGTACCTTTAGTTTTTGGCCAGCAGGTGGTGAATTTTGGACTCAGACCCTATAGACAGGTTTGGACTAAATAAAGCTTTGGAACAGAACAGTGACATGAGTGAGAGGAGGCAGAGGAACGACATGTACCTTCTGACTCCTTGTTTTTCTCAACCAAATACACAGAGTAGAGGGAATGTTGTAGAATGGTTTGGGTGTGTGGACTTGACCTCACAGAACCTCGCTTTCTTTGAAGGGCTTAATAGCCATACTATCAGGAAACAGGTGCTATCGGCAAGACACAAATGGTTATGGGGCTGCAAGGAAGGGGAAACCACACCAAGATAGTCAGAGAAGGCACTGTAGGTAATCTGAGCTGGGCATTAAAGGAAGGTGGGAGACTTGACATGGAGAAGTGCAGGAGAGCAGACTGAGCAAAAGGCACAGATGAGAAAATACAGAGCGTGTTTAAGAAGCATCAGGTTGACTAGCAAGGGAGTCCGGGAGTGAGTTTGGAGAGGTCAAACCACGTAAAGAACCTCAAGTGCCTGGAGTGAACTTTATTCTAAAGATGTTGTGGGTCCTCGGGGATTTAGGCAGGGAAGTGACCGATTTCAGTGCTAGACAATGCACTTTTTTTTCTTTTTGGTGGCAAAACAAAATTTACCCAGCAATTTCCAAATGTACAGTACAGTATTGTCAACCACACGTGCACTGTTGTGCATAGACAATTCACTTTTTTTAATGAAAATTCACTTTTACAAACATTTTATTTTTATAGAAGCAGTAATGTGCATTGTAGAAATTTAGAAAAATAGAAACATTTTAAAAATTAATATTCCTAATAACCAGTGATCATATCTTAATAACTTTAGTTCATATTTTTCTGATTGTTCTGTGCATGTGTGTTTGTATGTGTGGTATTTTGTGTGTGTGTGTGTGTGTCTGTGTGTGTGTGTGTGAGTGAGTGAGGAAGATTAGCCCTGAGCTAACATCTGTTGCCAATCCTCTTTTTGCTGAGGAAGATTGGCCCTGGGCTAACGTCTATGTCCATCTTCCTCCACTTTATGTGGGATGCTGCCACAGCATGACTTGACAAGCGGTATGTTGGAGTGTGCCCGGGATCCAAACCTGCGAACCCTGGGCCGCTGAAGCGCTATGCCGCTGGGCCGGTGCCAGTAGGTGTGGTATTTTTAAATCAGAATGAGATCATACTGCTTTATAACTTTTTGGTGAATAATTTCTACCTTTTCCTTTTAGTAAGTTTTCATTTAATATTCATACCGTATTCAGAGTTTCCCAAGTGGCCCAAATATGTCATTCACAACTGTTCTTTTTTCTTTTTTTTTTTGTGAGGAAGATCAGCCCTGAGCTAACATCCGTGCTAATCCTCCTCTTTTTGCGGAGGAAGACCGGCCCTAAGCTAACATCTATTGCCAATCCTCCTCCTTTTTTTCCCCCAAAGCCCCAGTAGATAGTTATATGTCATAGTTGCACACCCTTCTAGTTGCTGCATGTGGGACGTGGCCTCAGCATGGCCGGAGAAGTGCGTCGGTGCGCGCCCGGGATCCGAACCTGGGCCGCCAGCAGCAGAGCGTGCGCACCTAGCTGCTAAGCCACGGGGCCGGCCCTTCACAGCTGTTCTGACCAAACCAGCATCCAGTCTAGGAACATAGGTTGCACTTGTTATGTTCCTTAAACTTTTATGACACTTTTTGAAGAGATTGGGTCAGTTGACCTTCAGAGAATTGTAGCCATGTGGAGGTTGGATTAGAAGGAATAGGGCAACCAATTTGGTGAGAAATGATGACAGAACTAAGACAGGGATGGTAGAGATGGAGAGGTGAAGATGGATTTGAAATACGTTTCATAGGTATAATTGACAGGGTTATAATTGACGGATCAGATTGGAGAGTGAGGAGAAGGGAGGAGTCAGGGATAATAGGTTTCTGGCTGCAGTATTGGGGTGGATATGGTACTCTTCAATAGGAATGGGCACATTGGAGGAAAAGATTAAAGGGAAAATGAGTAAGTTTTGGATAAGTTGAATATGAGATGATGTCTAGTAGGCTGTTGGACAGGTAGATCTGAGGCGTAGGGATGCTTAATAAATGACCCATGTTTTGAAATATGGCACTTAATGGAATTGGATTCAAGACATTCTGTTTTTTTTTAAATGGTATCCGTGAAATTGGACATCTGTTGAGGCGGGGAGTTAGATTCTCACCTCATACCATACTCACAAGTTAGATTAACAATCTAAACATAAATATATAAAACTATGAAAGTGCCAGGAGAAAGTATTTTAGAAGCCATAAAAAAATATTGGTAGATTTAATTACATAAAAAATTTTAAACTTTGGTACAGTAAAAATCACCTTAAAATTAGAAAATAAGCTATAGATTGGGAGAAAATATTTGCAGCATACTTAATAGGTCAAGTTAATATCTGTGGTAGGCAGGATATAGCACCCCCCCCAAGGAGTTCACATCATAATCCCTGGAACCTGTGAATACATTATTTTATATGGCAAAGGAGAATTAAAGTTGCAGATGGAATTAAGGTTGCTAACCAACTGACTTGAAGATAGGAAGAGTATCATGGATTATCCAGGTGGGCCCAATGTAATTATAAGTGTCCTTAAGAGTGGAAGAGGGCAGTCAAAGAGAGAATGATCTGATGTGAAAACTTAACTTTCCTTTGCTAGCTTGGAAGATGGAGAAAGAGGGGGAGTAGCCAAGGAATGTGGGCAGCCTCTGGAAGGTGGGAAAGGCAAGGAATGAATCCTGTCCAGTGCCTACAGAAAGGCCTGCCAACCTCTTGATTTTAGCCCATTGAGAAATACGTTAGACTTCTGACAAAATTTGTGTTTTGTGGTAATTTGTTATGGCAGCAGTAGAAAACTAATACAATATCCAACAAATAGTACAGTAGAAAAATGGGTAAAGGATATAAACAGGCAATTATAGAATAAGAAATCCAGATGGCCACTAACATGAAAAGCCACTTGTTTTTGTGCCTGTGGGTAGGGATGAGCTGACCCAGGGAGAGAAAAGAGCAACAGGCTGAGAAGAGATGGCTGGAGAGAGACATGGAGAACTTGTGGGTCAAGTGGGTGAAGAAGGGGACCATACCAAGGACAAAACAGCTGCCTAGAACCAGACCA